CACATCACCACCATAAAAAACCATAATTTACAAACACCATCACCATCAATTGCACCACTGCCACCGACACATCAACTTCATCATCATCACCATCGTTTTTAGTGCGACCACAACTTACCGCATCACGAACAATCCTTTGACGACGGGATGTCAAAACGTAGCCAATTTTTAAATAAACATAAAGCATCACAGCCAGTGGTATAAAAAATGAACCCATTGCTGAGAATACCACATATCCTTTATTTTGATTGTAACGACACACCGTGTAACCTTCTTCACGGCGACCAGGTTCATACCTACAAAAGGGCGAAACATAATGAATGAATTAAAAAAAATATTAAATAAAATATGAATGGATTTCATTGAAATAGAAAAATATGTGAAATATGAGTAGTAAAGTAAAACCTAAAGTCTTCGCAGCATGGTGGAAGTTTAAAAAAAATAATTCTGATTTGGTCTAGTCCATAATCTAAAATCAAGTAAATAGTCTAGTACAATAATCTATAGTTTGGTTTAATTTTAATCCATAGTCTAGTATTCAGTCTTGACTACAGTTTACTCTATCATATAGTTTATACTTATTTAGTCTCTTCTATAATCAATTTAGCTTAAAGTTTTACCTCTTCCACTATTGTGCCATACATCCGGTTTCCCAGATTCGCAGAAATTTCTAGTTGAAAGGAAAAACTTTATGTAACAGTTAAATTCCACTAAACTTATGATTTTTTTCAACTGGTAAACTTTTACCTCAGATTTTTATTTATTTTACAAATGTTATAAACATGTGTGAAAATTATATTTATTTTCTCTTTTGTTTTCTTGACATTACACACATTAATTTCATTTATATACATGGCTACAGTTGCACATTGTACTTGCTGACAGTAGCAGAAACAACAACAAATAGAATAAAGGAAACATATCGTAGAGCACAACAATTTTTTTTGGATTTTTTACAATTTTTTAGAACTATTTCTTAAGTAAAAAAAAATATGAATAGAAGAAAAACTGCATGTGTTTTTAATAAATATTGTCAGACAAAATTGTAGCAACATTCGTTGTGGAACTACATATATTCTCTATATTTCCAAACAGTGCCAGCATGTATTTCTGATTATAAAACCACTCACAAGTCATTCACATATTTAGCAAAAGTTTCAATTGAATTTTTTATTTATTAATAATAAATAAAAAATATATTAAAATGCAGTTTACTAAACTTACAACAGACTAGACTACATATACACAAGGCTATAGACTAGAAAATAGAATAGACTATAGACTAGACTACATATAGAGTAGAATATAGACTAGACTATAGACTAGACTATAGACTAGACTATAGACTAGACTATAGACTAGACTATAGACTAGACTATAGACTAGACTATAGACTAGACTATAGACTAGACTATAGACTAGACTATAGACTAGACTATAGACTAGACTATAGACTAGACTATGGACTAGACTATAGACTGGACTATAGACTAGACTATAGACTAGACTATAGACTAGACTATAGACTAGACTATAGACTAGAATATAGACAAGACTATAGACTAGACTATAGACTATAGACTAGACTATAGACTAGACTATAGACTAGACTATAGACTAGACTATAGACTAGACTATAGATTAGACTATAGACTAGAATAGACTAGACTATAGACTAGACTATAGACTAGACTATAGACTAGACTATAGACTAGACTATAGACTAGACTATAGACTAGACTATAGACTAGACTATAGACTAGACTACAGACTAGACTATAGACTAGACTATAGACTAGATTATAGACTAGACTATAGACTAGACTATAGACTAGACTATAGACTAGACTATAGACTAGACTATAGACTAGACTATAGACTAGACTATAGACTAGACTATAGACTAGACTATAGACTAGACTATAGACTAGACTATAGACTAGACTATAGACTAGACTATAGACTAGACTATAGACTAGACTATACTAGACTAGACTATAGACTAGACTATAGACTAGACTATAGACTAGACTATAGACTAGACTATAGACTAGACTATAGACTAGACTATAGACTAGACTATAGACTAGACTATAGACTAGACTATAGACTAGACTATAGACTAGACTATAGACTAGACTATAGACTAGACTATACTAGACTATAGACTAGACTATAGACTAGACTATAGACTAGACTATAGACTAGACTATAGACTAGACTATAGACTAGACTATAGACTAGACTATAGACTAGACTATAGACTAGACTATAGACTAGACTATAGACTAGACATACTAGACTATAGACTCTATAGACTAGACTATAGACTAGACTATAGACTAGACTATAGACTAGACTATAGACTAGACTATAGACTAGACTATAGACTAGACTATAGACTAGACTATAGACTAGACTATAGACTAGACTATAGACTAGACTATAGACTAGACTATAGACTAGACTATAGACTAGACTATAGACTAGACTATAGACTAGACTATAGACTAGACTATAGACTAGACTATAGACTATACTATAGACTAGACTAGACTATAGACTAGACTATAGATTAGACTATAGACTAGACTATAGACTAGACTATAGACTAGACTATAGACTAGACTATAGACTAGACTATAGACTAGATTATAGACTAGACTATAGACTAGACTATAGACTAGACTATAGACTAGACTACTAGACTAGACTATAGACTAGACTATAGACTAGACTATAGACTAGACTATAGACTAGACTATAGACTAGACTATAGACTAGACTATAGACTAGACTATACACTAGACTATAGACTAGACTATAGACTAGACTATAGACTAGACTATAGACTAGACTATAGACTAGACTATAGACTAGACTATAGACTAGACTATAGACTAGACTATAGACTAGACTATAGACTAGACTAGACTATAGACTAGACTATAGACTAGACTATAGACTAGACTATAGACTAGACTATAGACTAGACTATAGACTAGACTATAGACTAGACTATAGACTAGACTATAGACTAGACTATAGACCTAGACTATAGACTAGACTATAGACTAGACTATAGACTAGACTATAGACTAGACTATAGACTAGACTATAGACTAGACTATAGACTAGACTATAGACTAGACTATAGACTAGACTATAGACTAGACTATAGACTAGACTATAGACTAGACTATAGACTAGACTATAGACTAGACTATAGACTAGACTATAGACTAGACTATAGACTAGACTATAGACTAGACTATAGACTAGACTATAGACTAGACTATAGACTAGACTATAGACTAGACTATAGACTAGACTATAGACTAGACTATAGACTAGACTAGACTATAGACTAGACTAGACTATAGACTAGACTATAGATTAGACTATAGACTAGACTATAGACTAGACTATAGACTAGACTATAGACTAGACTATAGACTAGACTATAGACTAGATTATAGACTAGACTATAGACTAGACTATAGACTAGACTATAGACTAGACTATAGACTAGACTATAGACTAGACTATAGACTAGACTATAGACTAGACTATAGACTAGACTATAGACTAGACTATACACTAGATTATAGACTAGACTATAGACTAGACTATAGACTAGACTATAGACTAGACTATAGACTAGACTATAGACTAGACTATAGACTAGACTATAGACTAGACTATAGACTAGACTAGACTATAGACTAGACTATAGACTAGACTATAGACTAGACTATAGACTAGACTATAGACTAGACTATAGACTAGACTATAGACTAGACTATAGACTAGACTATAGACTAGACTATAGACTAGACTATAGACTAGACTATAGACTAGACTATAGACTAGACTATAGACTAGACTATAGACTAGACTATAGTCTAGACTATAGACTAGACTATAGACTAGACTATAGACTAGACTATAGACTAGACTATAGACTAGACTATAAACTAGACTATAGAATAGACTACAGAATAGACTAGACTGTAGACTAGACTATAGACTAGACTGTAGACCAGACTATAGAGTAGACTATAGACTAGACTGTATACTAGACTATAGACTAGAATGTAGACCAGACTATAGAGTAGACTATTAACTAGGCTATAGACTTGACTATAGACTAGCCTTTATACTAGCCTAGAAACTAGACTATATTCTAGCCTTTAGACTATAGACTAGACTATATACTAGACTATAGACCAAGCTATAGACTAAACTATAGAATAAACTATAGACTGGACTATAGACTAGACTATAGACAAGGCTATAGACTAGATTATAGATTAGACTATAGACTAGAAAATAAACTAGACTTTATGATATATTATAGACCATAATATAGACTTATTTATAAACTAGACGATACACTATATAGACTGTAGACCAGTGAAGTCATATTTGGCTATAAAGCCGTTTCTTTTTTAAATATGTATGTTTTATTTGGTCGCATTTACATTAAATATTTTATTTATTTTCCACACTTACCAACCCAAATACGGTGGACATGTTATGGACAATGCCGTCACCCAAACAATAAATATCATGAATAAGGCTAAACGTTTGGTACGTCTATTTTTGGAATACGTTAAGGGTTGTGTTACTGCTAAATATCTGAAAAACAAAACGTAAAAAGGGTGAGAAAAACAAAGTAAATATGAAATAAAATAAACAATTTAAAGTCAAATACCACAACAATAAAACTAACCATAAAAATGCCATTAGACTAAGTGACAAACTGAAAAAAAAAACCTACAGTCATTAAATTGCAATTGTAGCTAGAATCAACATATCATGGTAATGGTTGGACTCATCAACAACAACAGTTTAGTCGCGAAGCAAAATCGACAGGATGAAAGAGTTTTGCTTGTATATGACTTGATTTACATAACGTCTATTCAGAAAATATGACGAGGTTAAGAGATTTGTTTTTTTTTTAGTGGAATCAGAAAAATATGTATGTGAGTTTTTTTCATGGGGAATGTAAATAAAAATAAAAAGAGAGAAAGAACACTTGAAAAATCTACTGCCTGAAAATTTTGTTGAAAGAACTTTGAAAAAATTGCATACAAAACTGTTATTAACTATTCAACTTTATATAATAAATAACAATTGAATTAAGTTTTAAAAGCCTTTAAAAAGTAATGTAATTATTATTTATTTGAATTATGCTCTAAATTTAATTTCCCACAAGCATACATAATAAACAGAATTTTTAAAATTATGTTAACCTTTCAATTTCGATTCATTTAATAATTTCTTTTCATAAATAATAAATATATGTATATTTTTCTCTTACCTGTCTAAACTTATGGCACATAAACTTAAAATAGAAGCTGTACATAGTAAAACATCTAAAGAAATCCAAATATCACATAAAATCCAACCAAAACGCCAAACCCCTGTAAAGAAAAAAGGTTAAACTTATAAAAAATTTAATAAATACATATGTTTTATAAATAACTATTAGAAACCCATGTGAAATATAATAAAAAATGCTTTACCCATTAAAATGCAGTTTAAATTGCTGATAATGCTGAAATTACTTGTAAATTTGCTGTTTACAAGATAAAACCAAGAAACCAGTATGGTCAAAAAGTTAAGCGGGATAAAAAAAGATTTTATATGCATTTAAGCAGCGAATTTTTGACAATATGAGCTATAGTCTATACTATAGTCTATAGTCTAGTCTATAGTCTAGTCTATAGTCTAGTCTATAGTCTAGTCTATAGTCTAGTCTATAGTCTAGTCTATAGTCTAGTCTATAGTCTAGTCTATAGTCTAGTCTATAGTCTAGTCTATAGTCTAGTCTATAGTCTAGTCTATAGTCTAGTCTATAGTCTAGTCTATAGTCTAGTCTATAGTCTAGTCTATAGTCTAGTCTATAGTCTAGTCTATAGTCTAGTTCTATAGTCTAGTCTATAGTCTAGTCTATAGTCTAGTCTATAGTCTAGTCTATAGTCTAGTCTATAGTCTAGTCTATAGTCTAGTCTATAGTCTAGTCTATAGTCTAGTCTATAGTCTAGTCTATATCTAGTCTAGTCTAGTCTATAGTCTAGTCTATAGTCTAGTCTATAGTCTAGTCTATAGTCTAGTCTATAGTCTAGTCTATAGTTCTAGTCTATAGTCTAGTCTATAGTCTAGTCTATAGTCTAGTCTATAGTCTAGTCTATAGTCTAGTCTATAGTCTAGTCTATAGTCTAGTCTATAGTCTAGTCTATAGTCTAGTCTATAGTCTAGTCTATAGTCTAGTCTATAGTCTAGTCTATAGTCTAGTCTATAGTCTAGTCTATAGTCTAGTCTATAGTCTAGTCTATAGTCTAGTCTATAGTCTAGTCTATAGTCTAGTCTATAGTCTAGTCTATAGTCTAGTCTATAGTCTAGTCTATAGTCTAGTCTATAGTCTAGTCTATAGTCTAGTCTATAGTCTAGTCTATAGTCTAGTCTATAGTCTAGTCTATAGTCTAGTCTATAGTCTAGTCTATAGTCTAGTCTATAGTCTAGTCTATAGTCTAGTCTATAGTCTAGTCTATAGTCTAGTCTATAGTCTAGTCTATAGTCTAGTCTATAGTCTAGTCTATAGTCTAGTCTATAGTCTAGTCTATAGTCTAGTCTATAGTCTAGTCTATAGTCTAGTCTATAGTCTAGTAGTCTAGTCTATAGTCTAGTCTATAGTCTAGTCTATAGTCTAGTCTATAGTCTAGTCTATAGTCTAGTCTATAGTCTAGTCTATAGTCTAGTCTATAGTCTAGTCTATAGTCTAGTCTATAGTCTAGTCTATAGTCCTAGTCTATAGTCTAGTCTATAGTCTAGTCTATAGTCTAGTCTATAGTCAGTCTATAGTCTAGTCTATAGTCTAGTCTATAGTCCTAGTCTATAGTCTAGTCTATAGTCTAGTCTATAGTCTAGTCTATAGTCTAGTCTATAGTCCTAGTCTATAGTCTAGTCTATAGTCTAGTCTATAGTCTAGTCTATAGTCTAGTCTATAGTCCTAGTCTATAGTCTAGTCTATAGTCTAGTCTATAGCCTAGTCTATAGTCTAGTCTATAGTCTAGTCTATAGCCTAGTCTATAGTCTAGTCTATAGTCTAGTCTATAGTCTAGTCTATAGTCTAGTCTATAGTCTAGTCTATAGTCTAGTCTATAGTCTAGTCTATAGTCTAGTCTATAGTCTAGTCTATAGTCTAGTCTATAGTCTAGTCTATAGTCTAGTCTATAGTCTAGTCTATAGTCTAGTCTATAGTCTAGTCTATAGTCTAGTCTATAGTCTAGTCTATAGTCTAGTCTATAGTCTAGTCTATAGTCTAGTCTAGTCTAGTCTATAGTCTAGTCTATAGTCTAGTCTATAGTCTAGTCTATAGTCTAGTCTATAGTCTAGTCTATAGTCTAGTCTATAGTCTAGTCTATAGTCTAGTCTATAGTCTAGTCTATAGTCTAGTCTATAGTCTAGTCTATAGTCTAGTCTATAGTCTAGTCTATAGTCTAGTCTATAGTCTAGTCTATAGTCTAGTCTATAGTCTAGTCTATAGTCTAGTCTATAGTCTAGTCTATAGTCTAGTCTATAGTCTAGTCTATAGTCTAGTCTATAGTCTAGTCTATAGTCTAGTCTATAGTCTAGTCTATAGTCTAGTCTATAGTCTAGTCTATAGTCCAGTCTATAGTCTAGTCTATAGTCCAGTCTATAGTCTAGTCTATAGTCTAGTCTATAGTCCAGTCTATAGTCTAGTCTATAGTCTAGTCTATAGTCTAGTCTATAGTCTAGTCTACAGTCTAGTCAATGGTCTAGTCTATAGTCTAGTCTATAGCCTAGTCTATAGTCTAGTCTATAGTCTAGTCTATAGCCTAGTCTATAGTCTAGTCTATAGTCTAGTCTATAGCCTAGTCTATAGTCTAGTCTATAGTCTAGTCTATAGCCTAGTCTATAGTCTAGTCTATAGTCTAGTCTATAGTCTAGTCTATAGTCTAGTCTATAGTCTAGTCTATAGTCTAGTCTATAGTCTAGTCTATAGTCTATAGTCGATAGTCTAGTCTATAGTCTAGTCTATAGTCTAGTCTATAGTCTAGTCTATAGTCTAGTCTATAGTCTAGTCTATAGTCTAGTCTATAGTCTAGTCTATAGTCTAGTCTAGTCTATAGTCTAGTCTATAGTCTAGTCTATAGTCTAGTCTATAGTCTAGTCTATAGTCTATAGTTAGTCTATAGTCTAGTCTATAGTCTAGTCTATAGTCTATAGTCTAGTCTATAGTTTAGTCTATAGTCTAGTCTATAGTCTAGTCTGTAGTTAAGTCTATAGTCTAGTCTATAGTCTAGTCTATAGTCTAGTCTTTAGTCTAGTCTATAGGCTAGTCTATAGTATAGTCTATAGTCTAGTCTATAGTCTAGTCTCTAGTCTAGTCTATAGTCTAGTCTATAGTCTAGTCTATAGTCTAGTCTATAGTCTAGCCTAGTCTATAATCTAGCCTAGTCTATAGTGTAGTCTATAGTCTAGCCTAGTCTATACTCTAGACTATATTGTAATCTATAGCCATAGTCATTTAGTGCTAAATATTTTGATTGTACGAAAACTTTCATCCCACCACTGTAACCACACTAATAAACACTATAATAATCTATGTTTTATTCATAAATATTTATAAACAAATATTCATACGTTTTCAAAAAATACCTTTTTGATATTTTCATTATTTAGTCTTTTTTTTTTTTGCTTCAATACTCGTGTACTCTTGCAAGTTTTTATATGGCAAAATAACAAATTTTGATTATGGGCCAATATAATCAAACAATTGCTTTTTTGCCACAACAATATTGACCATTACTCGGCCAATAACAACAAATAACCAGGCAAATAAAAACACAGCATGTGAGAATGTGTATTCAATGTGGGAAAATTGAAATGCAAAAAAAAGGAAAATATGAAAGGAATGTGAACGAGGGTTGGTTAAATAAGTCAAATTGTAATGAAACTAAAATTCGAAATTTCGAAAGAAGAATTGGTTAGAGATATGACAAAATATCCATGCTATATTTACGGAAAGCGAGAATGCCATGAACCCGACTTATCACACTATCCTCCTGTATTACACACTATATCAAAAAATATTTGCAAATCCCTATACATTTTACAACATCTCTGAAAATAAAGAAATAAAATAAACAAAAAATCCCTTCAACAAATAATCTCACATTCAAATCGTATCAGAGGAATTTAAGAATGACGTATTGTTTTATCAGCACAAATGAAAATGATATCTATTATTTCCAATAAAAAAATGCAGGTAATATGAGTATAGACATATTGAAAAAATAAAAACTGAATATTATTTTCACATTATTTACCAAAATGATATTGATTGAATATTAATATGCATTATCTCGTTTGGCGTAAGTCAGTCTATATTATTTGTGAAATGAAATCAAGTAAAAATAACAATATGAGTAAAGTTAATTGAGTGTAAATAAATATTTATTAATATTAACAATTCTGTTAAAATGATAAAGCTAATAATTTTTCAATTTATATCATAAAACTCTAAAAGAACAGGTAAAGAAGGTACACTTCACTTGATTACATTTATTACTTTACCACAAAAGGTTTACTTTAGATTTTACTTACTCATGTCTACCATGGAAACCACCAACCTTAAGATTTCTTTATATTTCTTTTCGATTTTTTTCTGTCTTTATCATTATGAATTCAATTGCAAACATATTGAAGAATAAATAAATTGCTGCTCTTGAGAGCAACAGCAAAAAAAAAAAAAAAAAAACGAAAAAATTTCATAAAAACCAAGTGCTGGCGTTTAGAAATTTGTAAAACAATATTTTCTGGTGTTTTACAGAAAAAAAAACAAAAATTTTTAAAATATTTTTCTTTTTGCATTTTGCTGGAAATGTGTGAAACAAGTTGTAAAGAAATTGTAAAAAGATTAAATAATTTTTATGAAATATTTTCAGCAATCGTATAAAAATTGGGGGAAATTTGTTACATCTTTTAGAAGTTGTTGATGGTAAAATAATGAAATATTTTCTTTAGCTTGAAAATATGTGGAAGGAAACAATTAAGTTTTTATTGTTTTACCGAAGGAAGATAAAAAGATTTCTTCGTTTACATTTAAAATATCTAGCTTAAGGCAATTTTATTAGAGTTAATGAATAAATTTACAAGATTTTATGAAAACTTGAAACAGTTAAATTAAAAAACAAAATCCAAAGGATAAGCAAAACATATACTATAGCTAAAGAAATTACAAAGGAACCTCAAGCTGTCTATAAAACCATTTTGAGGGTCCTTCAACTTCTATAGAACATTTTGAGGTTCCTCAAACTTCCATAAAACATCTTGAGGTTCCTCAAACTTCTATAGAACAGTTTGAGGTTCTTTAAACTTCTATAGAACATCGAACGCCTATAGAAAAGTTTGAGATTTCTCAAACTTCTATAGAACAGTTTGAGATTCCTCAAACTTCTATAGAATAGTTTGAGATTCCTCAAACTTCTATAGAATAGTTTGAGATTCCTCAAAATTCTATAGAACAGTTTGAGATTCCTCAAACTTCTATAGAACAGTTTGAGGTTCCTCAAACAGCTATAGAACAGTTTGAGGTTCCTCAAACTGCTATAGAACAGTTTGAGGTTCCTCAAACTGCTATAGAACAGTTTGAGATTCCTCAAACTGCTATAGAACAGTACTATAGAAAAGTTTGAGGTTCCTCAAACTGCTATAGAACAGTTCTATAGAAGAGTTCGAGGTTCCTCAAACTTCTATAGATGAGTTTGAGGTTCCTCAAACTTTTATAGAAGAGTTTGAGGTTCCCCAAACTTCTACAGAGTTTGAGGTTCCTCAAACTTCTACAGAGTTTGAGGTTCCTCAAACTTATATAGAAGATTTTGAGGTTCCTTAAACTTCTATAGAACAGTTCGAGGTTCCTCAAACTTCTGTAGAACTGTTTGAAGTTCCTCAAATTTCTATAGATGAGCTTAAGGTTCCTCAAATTTCTATAGAAGAGTTTGAGGTACCTCAAAATTCTATGGATGAGTTTGAGGTTCCTCAAAATTCTATGGATGAGTTTGAGGTTCCTCAAACTTCTATAGAAGAGTTTGAGGTTCCTCAAACTTCTATAGATGAGTTTGAGGTTCCTCAAACTTTTATAGAAGAGTTTGAGGTTCCTCAAACTTCTATAGATGAGTTTAAGATTCCTCAAACTTCTATAGATGAGTTTGAGGTTTCTCAAACTTCTATAGATGTGTTTGAGGTTCCCCAAAATTCTATAGAAGAGTTTAAGGTTTCTCAAACTTCTATAGAAGAGTTGAAGGTTGCTCAAACTTCTATAGAACAGTCTGAATAATTTGAGGTTCCTCAAACTTCTATAGAACATCTTGAGGTTCCTCAAAGAAGAAGAGTTTGAGGTTACTCAAACCTCTATAGAACAGTTTAAGATTCCTTCTATAAAACAGTTTGAGGTTCCTCAAACTTCTATAGAACAGTTTGACTGTTCTGAATAGTTTGAGGTTCCTCAAACTTTTACAGCACAGTTTGAGGTTTCTCAAACTTTTACAGAACAGTTTGAGGTTCATCTTACTTTTAAAGAACAGTTTGAGGTTCATCTAACTTTTACAGAACAGATTGAGTGTCCTCTAATTACTATAAAATAGTTGGACCTTCCTCTAACTTATGTAGCATTTCTTGAGGTTCCTCAAACTTCTATAAAACAGCTTGAGATTTTTCAAACATCTACAGAACAGCTTAGGGTTCCGCCAACTTCTATGGAACAGCTTGAATTTAAACTAACTTTTACAGAACAGTTTGAGTGTCCACTAATTTTTATAAAATAGTTTTAGGTTCTGCTAACTTATATAGTGCAGCTTTAGGTTCCTCAAACTTCTAGAGAACAGCGTGAGATTCCTCAATTATCTATAGAACAGCTTGATGTTCGTCAAACTACTGCAGAACAGCTTGAGATTCCTCAAACTTCTATAAAACAACTTGATGTTCCTAAAACTTTAAAAGAACTGTTTGAGGTTCCTCTAACTTCTGTATAATAGTCTGAATTTCCTCTAACTTCCATAAAACAGTTGGTGATTTCTGAAACAGTTTGACAGTTAAAACTTCTGTAGAACACATTAAGGTTTCTTAAACATCTAAAGAACTGTTTGTAGCTCCTCCAACTTACATAGAACTGTTTGGAATTCCTCACACTTCTATAGAAAAGTTTGATTTTCCAATAACTTCCATAAAATTGTTTGAGGTTCCTCAGACTTCTAGAGAACATCAGTTTCCTCAAGCTTCTATATTTTGTGGAACAGTTTGAGGTGCCTTAGACTTTTATAGAACAGTTTGAGGTTTCATCAACAATGGGTTTGAGGTTCCCCTAATAGCTCTGTTTAGGTTTCCTCAAACTTTTGTTGATATGTTTGTGTTTTCTTAGACTTTTATGGAACAGTAAACTGTTATTTAACAGTAACAGTTGAGGTATATTATCTTTACAATGTACCTCTAATGCAAGTTCAAATTCTGGGATTAGAGTTGTCCTTGCGAACTAAATTCCTTATGATACCATTGATAAGGATTGGTAGAATGATCCAATAGGAAATTTATGAATATAACGAGATCTTAGAGCATAAGCTTTGAACTTGCAGATTATTTACGATCCATGAATTGCCTGATGTAGAGAGGAACAATAGAGGTGGAAGAATCGGTTAGTAGATGATATTTAGTTAAGGTAACTTTTAAATATCGACTTCAAAGTTGAAAATTAAGCTTTGAATTTAAAGATCATTTCGTTTTTTAGTTTCTAGACTATGACTACTTCCTAAAGCTAAGCAAAATCATAATAAATTTCATTAGAATAAGTAAATAGAGGTTTCCAGAGCTAAATTGGGAAAGATTTTTGTTCAGTCCAAAGCCGGTACTAAGATGACACAAGCTCAGCACGAGAGTTGCTTTTTAATTAAGTCCTTTCTAACAACAGGACATCGATCTTCTTATTCCCTGCATTCCAATACAGGAATGATTTTGTTTAATAAAAAACATACAAACAACTTTGGATATTATTGCATGTTAATCAGTTATTGAGACAGACAGACAGACTGACATGCAGATTTGACGACATGAAGTTCGATTTCAACAATGCAATACCTTTGTAGACCTAAGAAATGAAGAGTTTAAATCATTGAAACTTAAAAGGAAAAGAGATTGCAGAAACCTGATCTTGGAACTACTCCATGAAGGCAAAAGGGATGAAAGTTAGTGCCTGGGACAGTTACTACTTCATAGTAAAGTCTGGTTGGTATTAGTATGAGGTTACATAAGACGCTGAAAATTTAGATGGAAAACTAGGAGACTAATTGGAACTCCCTAAATTTGATATTCTGAATCCTTTGATTTCATAGGGAAACAACCAGTATTTTTAACAAATTTAATTAAATTTTTTAGTGACACATCTTAGAGACGTAAGGCCCTTAATTCCACATCATCTGTACATAGTCTTACCACAACTGTAAAGACAAATCGACATTGTTACTTTGGAGTCGGGATCCTTGGTAGATACAAAACTATACATGAATTATTGTACAGTTTCGTTTTGAGTGGGTTTATCTATGTGGCATCAAAGGGTCGACAAAATATATTTTCACTGCAAATGTTTAATAATAAAGCATCACTATGAAAACAGATTTCTATGTCTATTATACAGCAACTCCCCAAAAATGATAACAAAACGTGACTCATCTTGTTTCCATCATATCCCATCTATCTTATCCGAAAGTAATATTTCTAAGTAATAAACACAAGTGACCGTGCACTAAGAACTTACCTTCAGCAATGTAATGGATAACAGCTGGTGGCATAACACACGTCCCCACTAACCAATCCGTTATGGCCAAATTAAGTACAAAACAATTTGTTACCGTACGCAGGCGACGTGTTGTTAGGACAGCTAAAATCACCAGAGTATTACCAACTACCGTAACCAAGATGAGTAACATAAATATAGCCACAACCAAAGCCTTTGACCATGCCATACCCACCAAGTAGGAGTCGATAAAGGGTGGTAATGTGGCTACATTGCTAGAGGTGCGTGTTGATATGGTTATGGTTGTGGCCGTTGCTGTAGTTGCATCCCAAGTAAAATTGCCATTAAGTGGCAAAGGAGAAGATAATATTCCTGTAGTGTTGGTCAAGTTGTTGGTGAAATTCTCTAGGGAGGTTAAAGATTCTACTAAATCAACAACTAAAGAAGTGGTGGTGTTGGTAGCTGATGCAGATGATAATGAAGCATTTTCCCAAAGGTAATAGTGGTGCGGTAAAGACGTAGTTGTTGATGATGATGATGTTGTTGTTGATGTAGCTGTTGTTGTTAGTGGACTTGAGGCGTAAAGGAATGCTGTTTTTGGCAGTAAATTGGCTGTTGTAGTCGTTGTTGTTGTTGCTGCTGCTGCTGTGGTTGTTGTATTCGTCCTCATATGCAATAGCTTATATGTTGTTGTGGTGGTAGTTGTGGCTGTTAAATTGTTCTCACTTTCGTAGTTATAGTTGTTTATTAATGTTTCTTTTGTTTTCTGTATTGATGTTGTTACAGCTGCTGTTGTTGTTGCTTTTATAGTTTCATACAACAATGACAAAAATTGCGATTTTTGTTGCTGTATTGTCATTTCGTTTTGCTGCTACTGTTGTTGTTTTTTTCTTTTTGTGGCTGTGCGTGTTCAAATTCACATTTCAATCGTATAAATGAATGATTTTCGTTGTTATTGCTTCATGTATTTATAGAGTCATTATTGTGTGATTGTTTTGTAATCTTTCTGTTTTTATTTTTTGGTAAATTTTCCTGTAACGGTTTTTCTTCTTTAATTTGCTGTTAAATTTTACCACAACATCCGTTGTGCTATTGTTGCTATAGGGTTTTTCATTTAGAAACGTTTTTCTTTTAATTTATTTTAAATTCAGTCAATGTCAGGTTTGGAATATTTAAATTTTGAAATCGTACTAGTTTTTACAAAAAACAATACTTTTTATTGCTAAATTGACTAGTTTACTGATTAATCTATGGAATAGGCAAGGCTATGTGCAACTCTATTGACTCTATTGACTTGTCTATGGGTTAGTCTGTTGACCAATCTATCGACTAGTCTATGAGCTAGTTTATTGACTAGTTTTATACTAGTCTATGCTTTAGTATTATTTTGACTTATATAAAACAAAGTTTTGTTGATTTTTGTAGAGATACTAGAACATTTAACATAATTATTGGATTAAAAGCCATATTTGGGGTGTACGATGTATGCGGGCTAGGTGAAATAATGAACCGATTTTAACCACTTGCAATTGGCTTCGTCCTTGAATCAAAAGAAACGTTTGTGCCAAATTTCATTAAATTATCTTGAAAAATGTGACCTGTAGTTTGATTACAACAGACTGACGGATGGATAGACGGACGGATGGATGGACGGACATAGCTAAATCGATTTAGAAAATTATTCTGAGCCGATTGGTATACTAATTAGTATTAAGATGGGTTAAGAGCCAATATTATTTATATGCGTTACATACATCAGCACAAACCCAATATACACTCCTCACAAAAGTGGTATAGGCTACAACTCCCCACTAAAGTATATAAAAGTACTTAATATGTCGTACCCCAATATATGCGATATTTTTCGATATTATAAAGTACAATGTACTATGTTTTCCATGCCCATGATCTTTGACATTATTTATTGAATACAACCGTAATATACACATGGCTGTTGAAAGTTATTTTTTGCACTAAATGTAATCTATTCATTCACCTGTCAAAATTTTATGTCAAAATTTCTCATAACATTTAATTCCTGCTAGCAGTTCAAAAGAATCATATTTTCTTATTTATTATGTCATGGATTTGGTTCTCTAAAGAGCGAGACTAAAATCTATTCATCATTTGATGTATTTAAGTGTATTAAGTGTTACAAATTTCTTCCGTTATTTACTGGATATAACATAAAATACATTATTTATATATTTTTGTATTAACCCTGTAGTTTTTTTTGTAAAAATGTGTCCCTTTATGAAATAATTTTTATTAGAGTTTAATTACTTTACTCAATCTGACTTAAAGTTAAAGTGTTTCTCTAGACAAGTTCTACAAACAGATTTTATACAGTTACGTTCAGATTTTCATAAAGACTATAAAGTAAACCAGTGTCACTAAGAGGACTGACTGTGGCACTAATTGTTGATCACAAAAAAGGTGATACATAATGAATCAAAGGTATACGTCCCTTGTGAAAAAGAACGTCTTGACTTTTTGATGGAGATCGTGCTTCCGTTTAACTAATACATATCTAGAAGCTGTTTCCGAGTCAATAGAGTCCATTCCATCAGTTGAGTTGTGATTTGTTGTTGGATATGATTCAGATATAATCTGATGATTACCGGATAAGAAGCAACGGGACTTCGATTGTCACAGATGAAAAACCTCAAGTACTTGAGCAAATCTCTTGTACATATGCAGGTACAAGGTGCAGTTGTCATCAGCGTATTCTTTGAAAGTCATTAACGTTTTGGGTTGTGGATCGTCTGTAGCTTATCCTGTGGTTGAAAATATTCGACCAAGGGATATGTCACCCCGACTTATGAGCATTTAGTGAAAACAACACATATTTTTTTGTGTCAACCCAGAATGCGGGAAGTTTAGCTTAAGTTCTTAAATTAAAAAAAAAATACTGCAAAAGGCTCACCGAAGCTTGTGAATGTGTTTTGTTGCTTTCAACGTGCGAGCTATGGTTTGTGAAGTAATGATTTTGTCATGGAAGATAATATTTGCCTACACAAGTCAAAAAGGACGAAAATTGGAGGCATTACTCTTGTCGTCAAGATCAACAGAAATTTTAAAACGTTTGAGAGCATTACGATCCATTATGGTAACAAGAAACGTTAGAGAAAACCGGCCAACTAGCCAAACCCTCATATATTTGATGGAACCAAAAAGTTCCTATCTATTATGAATTACTGAAAGTTTCTTAGACCATCACAGAGCACCAGTACATAAATGCATCTGATTCGTCTGAAGAGAGCATTAGCCAAAAATACCAAGAACTAAAGTTATTATTACATTTTGACAATGATCGGCCATATGTTGCAATGCCTAATAAAAACTATTAAGAAAGAAGTGGTTGGAGAGTTTTGCCTCACTCGTGCCATATTCCAGACGGAGCTCCACCCACTACTGTTTCTTTCGATTGTCACTGAACGTTCTCAATGGGATACACTTCCGTCCAGAACAGGGTTTTGAAAATTAGCTTGATGAGGAGTTCTTTTGGCGCAGAAATGATATGTTACCAAAAAAATGGAAAAGTTCCATAGTTAAAAATGGCCAATTCCTTGAATAAATTTATATTGAACAAATATTTAAAAATCTCTGTATAGCTATGTATCTTAAATATTTAAGATAATCCCATTAAAAACATGATAATGAGTTGTACTTACTCAAGACCCAAACCGAGAAAGGTCTTAGATCTGTCTGCTAAACAAACGATGTCGTAATACTTTTAAGGGGAAAGGACCTAAATTACTTGTGTAGAAGGGCCGAGGAGGCTCTGAACACGACTGAATATATTGAGCCGTGTTTAATTGGCAAAAAGATACTGGTAACAGACAGAGTTAAATACTTAGGTGTAATACTTGACGGGAAATTTAGATGGAGACACCACATAGAGGAAAGTATTAAAAAGACACATCGGTGCTGGGTGCTATGTAGAAGAACCATAGGCATGAAATAGGGCATTAGTTCTACTAGACCAATCCTAAGTTATGCTTCAATAATCTGGTGGAATTCTCTGGAAAAAAAGTGTAATATCAAACTACTACAGGTAGTTTAGCGTACATGCTCTTTGGGTATAAGTGGAGCCATGAGTACTACATCAACCAAGGCTCAGGAAACACTGCTAGATATTCCACCCATTGAAACATATTTAAGATATGAGGCGGCGCTTACATCCGAACGGTTCTTTACTTTATGCGAACTGGCCAAAAGCGATGATAGGACACGTCATCAATGTACACTGGACACATTGGAAGGCTATACACAATCATCGGACGTGCTTGATCGCATACCAGAGACAAAATATGTTGGAAACTTTGAAACACTGATCCCAGATAGAATGTCCTGGTCAAGCGGAACTTTAGAGCAAATACCAATAGGAATCCGTTGCTACACGAATGGCTCTAAATTAGGAGACAAAAATATACCACCATGTACCTAATCACAACACTAGCTTCCAGGCAGAAGCAATGCGTAAATTGGATTAGAATAAATATGGCGCCCACAGGGCTTAACATATTTACCGACAGCCAGAAGGCAATTAGGGCGATATCAGGTGATAAAGTTAAATCTAAAACCGTATTGGATTGTAAAAAATCTCTAACCGAATACTCTCCCAGAGGTAAGGTTCACATCATATGGGTACCAGGCCACACGGGAGTAGTCGGCAATGAAAGAGCGAATGTAATAGCTTTGAATGGAAGGGAACTCGAGGTAGTAATTCTAACGAACGAAAACCATTTGACGCAATGAGGGCAGAATTAAAATTATGGGTGAGAGAAACCCATAAGGCCTCTTAGAATAATGAAACCGTGGGTAGAACCACAAAGACCCTAACGAGGTCAGGACGAGAAGCCTCTTAAAAATGAGCAAGTCTGAGGTTAGTATGATGTTACGTATTCTGAGTGGACACAGGATTACGGGCACACCTATACAAAATTGGATGTGAGGATTCAGACGAATGTAGAGCATGTAGGGAGGACAGTGAAACTTAGGGTTCTATAAATCGACTTTCGAATAATCAAACAATCGATTTTTGTCGAACTATTTTGTTCCAAAAAAGTCGATAACTCGACTATCGTCTGTGAAAAAAGTCGAAAAGTCGACTTTGTTAATAAAAGTCGAAAAAAATCAAAAAAGTCGAAAAGTCCGAAAGGCGAAAAGTCGAAAAAAGTCGAAAAGTCGAAAAAACCCGAAAAAAGTCGTAAAAAGTCGTAAAAAGTCGAAAAGTCGGAAAAATTTAGAAAAAATAGTCGAACATTTTAAAAAAGTGGAAAAAAAGTCAAAAACTCTAAAATAGTCGGAAAAACTCGAAAAAACTAAAAAAATAGTCGAAAAAAAAGTCGAAAGAAGTCGAAAATAGTCAAAAAGTTGAAAAAAATCGAAAAGTCGAATAAAACCGAAAAGTCGAAAAAAGTCGGAAAAAATTGAAAAAAAGTCGAAAAGTCGAAAAAAGTCGAAAAAAGTCGAAAAGTCGACTATTTATAAAATACTTATAGTCGAAAAGTCTAAAAGTCGACTTTTAATTAAATGAAAAAACTCGAAAAGTCGAAAAATCGACTTTTCATAAAATGCAAAAAGTCGAAAAGTCGACTTTTAACTAAATGAAAAAAGTTGAAAAGTCGAAAGGTCGACTTTTCGTTTCAACTATAGAACCCTAGTGAAACTCTGGAGCCTTGACATTTTGTTTACGAATGTTCTTCTTCAGGTGATCATAGTAAGTACTTATATAACACCCTATTTGAAAGCAAGCGTGGTAAGTATTTGCTTTCAATGTCGAAATACATATGTGTAAGTAAATTCTAGCATTTAAACCCCTTACTATTCAATGAATTTATCTAATAATAAACGATCAAATTGTTTTATTCCATCATTAGTCCATCATATTTGACATATTCTGGGTCCTATTGTAGTTCGATGTATGTACTATATATTTTGCTAGGGACACTAATTACTTGCGCCCAGCTATCATTGCAAACTTTTAGCATTCGAAACTAGTATTACTATATGAAGAGAGTCATTGGACCTGCAGGGTATAAACACATACATATGTAGGTAAATACATGTGAATGTTTTTACTATTTTAACTGTTGATATTATACGGTTAATACACTATACAAATGTTTGTCCTCTCATGTACATACATACACACATATGTATGTGTTCACACTATATA